TTCAGCCATTTGCAGACATCCTGCTGGGTCCACAGCACCACCGGCTTGGTAAGGCTGCCTAGGGTTGGGCTGGTGTGGTAGATCCCATAGTGGTCGTAGTTCCGGCCCTGTAGGGTTGGGAAGAGAGCAATGGAGACACGATTAATGAGCAAATCAAAGTTGGTCATCCATGGATTCAGTGAATGTTTTGGGCCATCCCAAATTAAGAATTCAGTTTGTATAAAAGTTAGTATTCCCGATTATGGTTGACACTGTCCTCAATATGTATGAATACTCGTGTGGTAGATCCCATAGTGGTCATAGTTCCGGCCCTGTAGGGGTTGGGGAGAGAGCAATGGACACATGATTAATGAGCAAATCAAAGTTGGTCATCCATGGATTCACTGAATGTTTTGGGCCATCCCAAATTAAGAATTCAGTTTGTATAAAAGTAAGCATTCCTGATTATGGTTGACACTGTCTTCAATATTTATGAATACTTATAATTCCATCTGGTGGAGCGTCCATTTCTGGAAGTTTCCAAGCAGAGGCTGGGTGGCCATATGTCAAGGATTTTATTGTGTATTCCTTTATGGCAGAATGGGGTTGGACTGGATGACCCTTGGGGCCCCTTCTAACTCTATGATTCTATCAAATGAAACTACAGATGCAGGAGTCATACTTGAAAAACATTGGCATCAAGAATGCTATACACTACTAGGACTCTTATCACAAAACTAAGCTAAGCGATGAGACTGCACATGTACTATACCAGTGTTTCTCAACCTGGGGTCGGGACCCCTGCGGAGGTCACGAGGGGGTGTCAGAGGGGTCCCCAAAGACCGTCAAAAACCACAGTATTTTCTGTTGGTCATGGGGGTTCTGTGTGGGATGTTTGGCTCACTTCTATCATTGGTGGAGTTCAGAATGCTCTTTGATTGTAGGTGAACTATAAATCCCATAAACTACAACTCCCAAATGTCAAGGCCTATTTTCCCCAAACTCCACTAGTGTTCACATTTGGGCATACTGAGTATTCGTGCCAAGTTTGGCCCAGATCTATCATTGTTTGAGTCCACAGTGCTCTCTGGATGTACATGAACTACAACTCCCAAACTCAAGGTCAGTGCCCACCAAACCCTTCCAATATATTTCTGTTGGTCATTGGAGGTCTGTGTGCCAAGATTGGTTCAATTCCATTGTTGATGGAGCTCAGAATGCTCTTTGATTGTAGGCGAACTATAAATCCCAGCAACTATAACTCCCAAATATCAAAATCAATCCCCCTTCCCAACCCCACCGGTATTCAAATTTAGGCATATTGAGTATTTGTGCCAAATTTGGTCCAGTGAATGAGAATACATCCTGCATATCAGATATTTACATAACGATGCATAACAGGAGCAAATTTACAATTATGAAGTAGCAATTAAAATAATTTAATGACTGGGGGTCACCACAACATGAGGAACTGTATTAAGGGGTCGCGGCATTTGGAACGTTGAGAACCACTGATATTTATAGTGATTATAATGGATTAAAAGAACCGCAATGCAACAGGAGCAACAACGTTAATCCTTATATAAGGACCGGGCTGTGGCACAGCTAGCTGAGAGATAGTTGCATTAAATCACTACTGACAGAGAGGTCATGAGTTCGAAGTCGGTCTGGGTCAGAGTGAGCTTTTGGCCATTGGTCTAGCTTGCTGATAACCTATGCAGCCCGAAAGACATTTGCATCTGTCAAGTAGGAAATTTAGGAGCTGCTTTATGTGGGGAGGCTAATTTAACTAATTTATAATGCCATAAAACCTTCCAGCAGTATGCAGAAGAATGAGGAAGTACTCCATCAAAGGACTCGGTGTCACAAGTAGACGGTGAAGTGCTCCCTCTGTGGCTGGAAATGAGCATACTCTCATGAAGCCGGAAAAGCTGGAAAGTTAAATTGCCTCTGTGTCTGTCTATATATGTCTATTTTAAATTGCCATATATATGTGCATTGTAATCCGCCCTGAGTCTCCTGCAGGGTGAGAAGGGCGGAATATAAATACTGTAAATTAATAAATACATTTTCAGTTATTCTTACATGTCACTTATTGGGGAAAGGACTCCATTTCAAGAAATTCATTATTTTGGAATAATGCGTTCAAGCACTATTTTCTTGAATATATGGATTTCTGTTTGTTTGTAGGAACGCACTCCAGAATCCTGAGATGTGCTAATAGGGTGGGATCATGCTCAGATAATGGTGAAGTGAAGACTCGGGTTCGAATCCCCCTTTAGTCATGAAACCCACCAGGTGGCCTTGGGCCAGCCACACTCTCTCAACCTCAGAGGAGGGCAAAGCCAAACCTACTCTGAGCAGATCTAACCAAGAAAACCTTGTGATGTTGTTCATTCGTTCAGTCGTCTCCGACTCTTCGTGACCTCATGGACCAGCCACGCCAGCTCCCTCTCGGCCGTCACCACCCCCAGCTCCTTCAGAGTCAGGCCAGTCACTTCAAGGATGCCATCCAATCATCTTGCCCTTGGTCGGCCCCTCTTCTTTTTTCCTTCCATTTTCCCCAGCATCATTGTCTTCTCTAAGCTTTCCTGTCTCCTCATGATGTGGCCAAAGTACTTCAACTTTGTCTCTAGTATCTTTCCCTCCAATGAGCAGTCGGGCTTTATTTCCTGGAGGATGGACTGGTTGGATCTTCTCGCAGTCCAAGGCACTCTCAGAACTTTCCTCCAACACCACAGTTCAAAAGCATCTATCTTCCTTCGCTCTGCATGGTCCAGCTCTCACATCCGTAGGTTACTACAGGGAATACCATGGCTTTGACTAGGCGGATCTTTGTTGCCAGTCTGATGTCTCTACTCTTTACTATTTTATCGAGATTGGACATTGCTCTCCTTCCAAGAAGTAAGCGTCTTCTGATTTCCTGGCTACAGTCTGCATCTGCAGTAATCTTTGCACCTAGAAATACAAAGTCTGTCACGGCCTCCACGGTTTCTCCCTCTATTTTCCAGTTGTCAATCATTCTTGTTGCCATAATCTTGGTTTTTATGTTTAGCTGCAACCCAGCTTTTGCGCTTTCTTCTTTCACCTTGATTAGAAGGTTCCTCAGCTCCTCCTCGCTTTCGGCCATCAGAGTGGTGTCATCTGCATATCTGAGGTGGTTAATGTTTCTTCCAGCAATTTTCACCCCAGCTTTGCATTCATCCAGCCCCGCACATCGCATGATGTGTTCTGCATACACTTAAAAAGGTTGGGTGAGAGGATGCAGCCTTGCCGTACGCCTTTCCCAATCTTGAACCAGTCTGTTGTTCCGTGGTCAGTTCTGACTGTTGCTACTTGGTCCTTGTACAGATTCCTCAGGAGAGAGACAAGGTGGCTTGGGATGCCCATCCCACTAAGAACTTGCCACAATTTATTATGATCCACACAGTCAAAGGCTTTAGAATAGTCAATGAAACAGAAGTAGATGTTTTTCTGAAACTCCCTGCCTTTCTCCATTATCCAGCGGATATTGGCAATCTGGTCTCTCGTTCCTCTGCCTTTTCTAAACCCAGCTTGAACATCTGGCAACTCTCGCTCCATGTATTGCTGGAGTCTTCCTTGCAGCATCTTGAGCATTACCTTACTGGCATGAGAAATAAGGGCCACTGTACGGAAGTTTGAGCAGTCTTTCGCATTTCCCTTTTTTGGTATGGGGATATAAGTTGATTTTTCCAGTCTGATGGCCATTCTTGTGTTTTCCATATTTGCTGGCAAATGGCATGCATCACCTTGACAGCATCATCTTTTAAGATTTTAAACAGTTCAGGAGGCGGCAACAAAGTACGTCCCAAAGAAAAAGAAAACAAAGAAGGCAAAATGGTTGTCTGCTGAGACACTGGAAGTAGCCCAAGAAAGGAGGAAAGCAAAAGGAAACAGGGATAAGGGGAGATATGCCCAGTTAAAGGCGCAATTCCAGAGGTTAGCCAGAAGAGATAAGGAACTATTTTTAAATAAGCAATGCATGGAAGTGGAAGAAGACAACAGAATAGGAAGGACAAGAGACCTCTTCCAGAAAATTAGAAACATTGGAGGTAAATTTCAGGCAAAAATGGTATGATAAGAAACAAAGATGGCAGGGACCTAACAGAAGCTGAAGAGATCAAGAGAAGGTGGCGAGACTATACAGAAGATCTGTATAGGAAGGATAATAATATTGAGGATAGTTTTGACGGTGTGGTGAATGAATTAGAACCAGACATCCTGAGGAGTGAGGTTGAATGGGCCTTAAGAAGCATTGCTAACAACAAGGCAGCAGGAGATGACGGGATCCCAGCTGAACTGTTTAAAATCTTAAAAGATGATGTTGTCAAGGTGATGCATGCCATTTGCTAGGGTTACCTTAAGTTGTTGGGTTGGAAACAGCTTGAAGCCACACAATAACAATGCTGTCTATTTAGTTTGAGATGCCTGTTAATAATTCAGTGCTCCAGCCATCATTAACTTTCTGACAGTCACTTAAAGAATGCAATAACAGTCCTAAACAAAACGCACATGAAAGGTTGTTCATTAAGTTACAATCAGAGGAAGCTTTGAATCCGTTTTTGCATTCCTGAGCAATTTTTGGTTTATTCTAAAGCGAGCACCGCTAACTTCCATATTAGGTCATATTTACACAGTTTCTAAATTATTGCCACATTGTTGACATTCGTTGTTATTCCATAACATTTAGGTTCATTACTTTGACTTTAAAACAATCCCAAATGTGGGAACACCACACGGAGGGCACATCAGGACACACCTTTCGGTTAAGACATAATTCATTTCCAATTCTATCTTACCATAGAATCATACAT